GAGCAAGGATGTCAGGACCACGAGGGGTGCACCCACCCACTGAGACAGTGGGGCTGATCTATTGGGAGCTCACCAAGGCCAGCTGGACTGTGACTGAAAAAGCATGGGATAAAACCGGACTCTCTGAACATGGCGAACAATGAGGGCTGATGAGAAGCCAAGGACAATGGCACGGGGTTTTGATCCTACTTCATGTTCTGGCTTTGTGGGAGCCTAGCCAGTATGGATGTTTACCTTCCTAGACATGGACGGAGCGGGGAGGACCTTGGAGTTTCCACAGGGCAGGGAACCCTGTCTGCTATTTGGGGGGAGAGGGAGAACGGTGGGAGGAGGGGGAGGGAAATGGGAGGCTGGGAGGAGGCGGAAACTTTTTTTTTCCTTTTTTCAATAAAAATAAAAAAAATTGCAAAAAAAAAAACAACAACAAAACTACAAGCATATTAGACAAGTTTGAGCTGTCTTCTTTATAACTGAAACCTGGACAATGAAATGCTCCTCAGAACAGCAGGTGAATGTGTTTGGGATGATATTTCTCAGAATGTTTCTTAGGAAGAAATAGATTGTGCAACAATGACATTCAGAAACATCTCCATCTGCAGCAGGAAGTAAACTACAGGATATGAAGCAGTGCTTTAGATGCTTTGGCCATGCTATGAGAATGAAAGGTGCCGATGCCTGAAGATAGCATTGCTTGAGGGAGTGCATGGGATAAGGCAAACAGGAAGGCCCCCAAAATGCTGGATCGACAGCATAAATGAAGACTGTGGAACCTTGAGTATGACAATAACACAAGCATGTAGGACTTCCCAGGACAACAACAACCGGAGAACCACCACAAATAGACTGTTCATCTATGCTTAAGCATTGCTAGGGCATAAAAGATGGTGATGATGATGATGATGATGATGATGATGATGATGATTACAAACAAACAAACAAAAAGAGTGTGTGACCCACTACAGTTTCTATTAGAAAAAGATATGGATGAAAGTTATTTGCTGTTTGTATAAGTCATAAGGTTTATATTAAATGCTGAATAGAAAATAAAAAGAGGGTTGAAATTGTATACAAATCCTTTCACTGGCTTTGTGAAACAGACTGAATATAAACGCAGCATAATACAACATCAAGTGCTCCAAACTCAGTGGAGAAACAGGCAAATGCCTTTTCAGTTCTATGCTTTATTTGCCTTTTTATTAAATTCTGAGTAATATAGATACATTATATCTCCTTACCCATATCCTAGCCTATTATGATTAAAATAAATTGATGAGGCATAGAGTCATTGAACTGACAATATTCTGGACATATCTGCAAGCAAGAGTCTACATATTGTTAATTGGAATAGAAAAACCAGTAGAAAATGTGATTACTATAAACTTTGGAATATATTCCTGGAATTGAATAGAAGTAGAAAGGAAGCTCAGCAAACATATTCCTATCCCTCTGGTTCCTGACTTTGTACACAATATGAAAATAAGAACCACACTTCCTTGCAGGCTCTGTGTGTGTGCTTCTTGGATTCTGGAAACAAGGTACTAAGAAAATACAATGATCTGGTTTAGACAGTACTAGCAATAATACTGAGAGAGGTAGGAAAAATAAAAGATGCCTGAGACATCCCATATCAAACCACAGAGATCACTCACCATTGACATAGAGACTGTCCTTGTCCAGGGAGTAGTTACCCAGAAGGGTGAGTCCCTGAGTTAGATTTCTCAGCTCTGTGTACAGCTCTTTGATGTCTATCCCAGGATGTGCAGGGTCATGGTAGTAGGCACAGATGGCATCCACACCAGTGGCTGTTCCGTTCTTCTTAGGCCTGGAAAGAGAGGAGTGTGGAGCCCTTAGAAAAGTCATAATGTAGATCAGAACCAGAAGGAAGGAGGAGGAATGAGAATGGTAACAAGAGCAGTGTTCATTCCTTGCAAAGGGACAGAAAGTAGAGTCACCTGAGGGAATCCAGTCTGCAACTGGAGTTGAAGGAGTCATTCTGGAACACGTGTCCAAGCTGTGGATGGGGAAGGAGAAGGGAAATGAAAGCAGATGTTGGACAAAGGGGTCATATGGGATCGATCTCTGTCAGGCTGCTGGGATAAGGTTCTCACCAGGTAGTGGAGGAAACTCTCAGTTGAGCTGAACAGAACTGAGCCATTGCTCATATTTGATGAATATGGAAGGTTGGTTATGGTGAAGTTGATTGTGAGGGTTTTTAGATGGTGTCCTATAGCTGCAGGAAGAGAAGAGATTCAATTGAGAGTTTGCTTGCTGCCAGAGAGAAATCCTGGTCTCTTCAGTTTGGCTTTTCTTTCAGTCTCCCACCGATCTCAAAATGTCCAATCAGGTCAGAACCTACACAGCTTCTTAACTCCACAGCACACAAATTGTCTTCTCTTAGCATTCCTCACATTCATTCTCTCCTCATTTCAGCACAGGTATTATCTTATGACCAGCATATACTTCTTGCCTACTCATTGGATGCAATGTCTAAAGATGTTCTTTACACTAGAACTACAAGAGGATCATCTTTCTGAAATGAAAACTCACACTGGGATGATCTATAGTACATTACTACCCATGGTCCCATGTGTACATTCAGTGTCAAGTGCAGTTGAAGATTTGACACTTGTGGTGGCTAATATGGCTATCATGTAGTCACACGTGTGTATACAAATTGAAGAATTGCTTCCATCAGACTGTCAATGGTCTTATCTATATGACTTATTGTTTTGCTATTTGATGTAGAAGAACCAGTAAAGTATGAACAGCATTACAACCAGGCATGTGCCTTGTAATTCTGATCTTTGCACATATGAAGATGACCCTGACATTTCACATACTCTTTTTCTAGCTCTATCTGGAAGACAGGCAGATCTATTCAAATGCAGGCAATGGGATCCAGACTTACCTGTGGCAGGTTCTGGCTGCAGAGATGCAGGTGGAGAAGGTAGGGTAGTGGTGACTGGCTCATGAGCTGTGGAAAGGATTGTCATTGCTGAAATCCCCATTTCCAAGAACACCTCATGCTTCATTTATCTAGATTGTTTTTATGCATCCTAGAGTTTCAGCTCTGGATAAAATTTTCCTCTGAAAACCTTCCCCTTTCTAAATACAAGACTGTCCATAGTGAGAGAAATATTTTTTTAGCTATGATTAGAGGCAAAAAAAAAATCATTCACAGATGAACCATGAGCTAAACTGAAGAGTGACTGTGTGTGGAGAAGTGAATTTTACTATGACCAGAATTAACTTGAGATTTTGAGATATAGTGTTTGAGTAAAGAACACAGAAGAATTAGGAGAATAGAAAATATAAAAAAATAGATGGATAGAAGGAAAGATACATAAAAGGAGGACCAAAGTAATTCAATAAAAATAAAAAAAATCTTGTTTAGGTGGAAGATAGGAGAGGAGAGAGAACAACTAAGTGAATGAACTTGATGATGGGTTAACAAGTGTGTGAGGATGTGTGCGTGTATGCATGCACCAATGAACAGATTATAGTATTCTGATATAGATGAGTAGATGAGAATTGAATAGAAGGGTAGGTGGAAGGATGGGTATATAAGCACTGCATGCATGTATACAGGAATTGATTTGTATGTAAGTTCACAGAATAACAAAAGAGAGAAAGTCAATTCTAAAATCTAAGCAAGCAGAAGACATGGGTGTATAAATAACTTAATGGACTGAATGATATGTAGTAGCTGAAAGAAGAGCAGGTGATCATACAGATGGCGAATATATGAACATATAAGGAGAGATGTGCCTGATGAAAGGTCAGGTGGATGCACGTATGAAAGCATAAAGCAAAAAGTAGTATGACCTGGAATATGGACAGTAGTTGAGTTTGTCAATGAATGTGAATGAGTAAATAAAGAGAATCATGCAAAAAAGAAGGAGAAAGAGGAGAAACTAATGAAATACAAAAGAATAGGTAGTAGAATGGATGGATGGATGGATGGATGGATGGATGGATGGATGGATGGATGGATAGACAGATAAATGGATGGATAGATGGTTCAAAAAAATAGATGGAATGATGGAAATATGCAATGAGCATAGGAATAGCTAGAAAAATGGAAAAGCGGACATCTGGGAAAGTAATGGTAAATAGGCCAATGCACACCCAAAACTCAACTCCAAATGATTATGCAACCTTTACATAAGTCCTGGCACCTTGATGTAGTTGAGGAGAAAATAGGGAATACACTTGAACTTATTGGCACAAGGAATAATTTTTTGGGACAGAACCTGGAAAGCAAAGTCTTAAAGACTAATAATGAATACACGTCCTTGTGAATCAAAAAAAGCTTCTCTAGAAAAAAGATAGCACTGTTCGAACAAAGTAGCTTCTTATAGAATGGCAAAAAACTTATCAGCTAAATATTTGGCAGAGGGCTAGTGTCAAGAATATTCAAATAAATTAAAAACTGTCCAAAAAGAAAATAACCCAATAAAAATTGTAGAATAAAAATTGTAATTCTCACAAAATGAAATGCAAAGTGTTCAGAAATATTTTTTTAAGAAATGACCAACATACCTAGGTATCAGTAAGAAAAATTAAAACGCATTTAAAATTTCTCCTTATCCCTATCATAATGGCTAAGATTAAACCAACAACAAAAAACCCCAAACAAACTCACAAAAACAACATGATTACAAGTGCTGGCAGATGTGGGGAAACAGAAACAATTATTCACTTCTGGTAGGGGTGTATCCACTATAGAAATAAGTGTGACAGTCGCTAAAATGGTAGAAATAGACCTATTATAAGATCCAATGTTACCACTCTGGGGCATACACTCAAGGGAGTCCATACATTACTATTGAAAGACAGGCAAGTCCATGTTTATTGCTGCTCTATTCACAATATCTAGCAAACTGTAACAGTTTAGATGCCCACAAACTGGTGGACAGATAATAAAAATATGGTACATTTCAACAATATTTTTAAGCTGGTAACAACAATACAATTGCCACAGTCTCTGTGAGTTCATCTGTGTACCAGTCCTGTTGTATCTGGAAATTATTATAACCTTAGAGTCATCTACAGTGCTTTGAGTTGTACAAGTTCAAACCAGGAAATTACAGCACTGAAAAATGGAAGTAGACCCTTAACCAAGAAACTGTTTGCAATAAGGACCAGCTAAGAAAGGAAAAATCAATTTTCACCAAAGGAGTGTCATTAGGTGTATAACCCCACCCAGAGCAGGATGGGTCACAGGCCCAGAAATAGTAGAACAATAGAAAATGGACACCTTATTTTTTTTCAGTTTTTAATTCGGTATGAGATTTTGTTTCATTTTTCCATTTTAAATTTATTTTTCTTCTTGATTTGTGTATGTTTGTTTCAAATTTACTTTTGTCTTTTGGGGACTTGTGGAATGGAGGAAAAACAGAGAGAAGAGACAGAAAGAACATGAAGTTGTATGAGTAGGGAAGTGGGAAGGAACTGAAAGGAGCTGGAAGAGAGAAACATTATGATCAAAATAAATCACAAAGAAATTTAAATAAAATTGAAACAGTTAACAAATGTGAAGATAAGTGGATGAATTCAAAAACAATCAATATGGGTGAAGTAACCTGGAGCAAGAGATTAGAAGTCATACATTTTCTATCATTTTAGATGTTTATTTTGAATCTTTAGAAATATTATTTCATTTGATAGGATATGGTGATATTGAGGAGGAAAGGGAAAAATAAAATGGGAAGAACAAGATGGGGAAGGAGGTACCTAGTCAAATGAGTAGGTAGAAAGGGAATACAGGGAGGAATAATGATTACTGAGGACATCACAAAATGTAAGGCAGAAATCTAATGCTAAAGTAGTTTCCTAAAGTATATGCATGCAAACATATAAGGAGTCTAAATGGAGTTGCTATATAATGGAGAAGGAATGCCCTACTAGACACCACTGGATGATCAATAAAATCTAGCACTAGGAATGGATTATTCCTTTTGGAGCTATTGACAAGTGATGCACCAGTGACTTCCAAACAGTTTTGCCTAATCCCATTGCACTGGGTTACCCTGTAGAACTTCTTGGTTAGATTTGTATTGCTGAAGATATCAGGCACTTGAGCCATAGCACATGGGGAGGTAAACTGACACTCAGCTGGAAGTTTCACCCCTTCTGGCTGGCTTTCAGAGTGCTGGAAGGTGCTATGCATGCTACCGGAGGAGGAAAGCAATCACAAATCTTGTTCTACTGCTAACACTTTGAATTACAACGATGACTGGTCTGGTAACACATGTTCACATGATGCAATAGTAACACAAACTCCTGGTGTAATACTCTCAGAGAACTAATATAAATTAGAAAAGATACAAGAGGGAAGGCAATTTTAGAAAAACATGTGATTAGTAATCTAAATTTTGTAGCTGGATAATGAAGTCCCTGATGAGGATTCTTCATTTTAGGGGACATAAATTACACAGTAGTCATTTAAACTAAGCCCCATAATACTGTGAGCTATATTTTACAAACACTTTTATCCAACTGAGAAGAATATGGAAATTCCGAAACCCAACATTAGTGCTGAATTTAAGAGGAGTCCAATGGCTTGCTTCTGTTGAGACCTTGGCCTCTCTGAAGAGATTGGTTTGTATTTGGGTGAATTCTTCATTGAAAATGAGCAGAAAATATATGGACCAAGATCTAGGTCAGGGTAAATTGGTACTTACTTGTGGAAGGTTCTTCAGGACCAGGTTTATTATAACCTAAAAAATAGAAGTCATGTCAGAGGAAGGAAAACAGAAAAAGAAAAAAAAATCAAGGAAAGGATTCACATAAACCTAACACCCATATTTCCTTGCCAGGTTTTATGTGTACTTCTTGGATTCTTGAATCAAAGTACAAGAAAACAGAATGAACTGGTGTAGACATTAATAGCAATAATACTGAGAGAGGTAAGAAAAATAAAGGATGCCTAGGACATTCCATAACAAACCACAGAGAACACACACCATTGACATAGAGACTGTCCTTGTCCACGGAGTAGTTCCCCAGCTGGGTGATTTTCTGAGTTAGATTTCTCAGCTCTGTGTACAGTTCTTTGATGTCCATCCCAGGATGTGCAGGGTCATGGTAGTAGGCACAGATGGCATCCACACCAGTGGCTGTTCCGTTCTTCTTAGGCCTGGAAAGAGAGGAGTGTGGAGCCTTTAGAAAAGTCATAATGTAGATGAGAACTGGAAGGAAGGAGGAGGAATGAGAATGGTAACAATGAACAGTGTTCATCCCTTGCAAAGGGACAGAAAAGAACTCACCTGAGGGAATCCAGTCTGCAACTGGAGTTGAAGGAGTCATTCTGGAACACGTGTCCAAGCTGTGGATGGGGAAGGAGAAGGGAAATGAAAGCAGATGTTGGACAAAGGGGTCATATGGGATCAATCTCTGTCAGGCTGCTGGGATAAGGTTCTCACCAGGTAGTGGAGGAAACTCTCAGTTGAGCTGAACAAAGCTGAGCCATTGCTCATATTTGATGAATATGGAAGGTTGGTTATGGTGAAGTTGATTGTGAGGGTTTTTAGATGGTGTCCTATAGCTGCAGGAAGAGGAGAGATACAACTGAGAATTTGCTTGATGCCAGAGTGAAATCCTGTTCTCTCCAGTTTGGCTTCTCTTTCAGTCTCTCACGGCATCTCAACATGTCCAATCAGGTCATAACCTACACAACTTCTTAACCCCACAACACACAATCACCTTCTGTTAGAATTCCTCACATTCATTCTCTCTTTATTCTAGCATATATTTTAGCTTGTGACCAGCACATACTTTCTGCAAACTTAATGGATGCAATGTCTAAAGCTGTTCTCTATGTGGATCACTAGCAGTATCTTTCTCAAATGAAAAATCACACTGGGATGGTCTATAATGCATTACTAACCATGGATCCATGTGCATTGTTGTGTCCAGGTTGTAACTGAAGACTTGACACTTGTGGTGGCTAGTGATGATTGTTAAATAATCATACATGGGAATAAGAATTGAAGAATTACTTCTATCAGATTGACAGTGGACTTATCTATGGGACTTATTTTTTTTTAATTTGATGTAGAAGAACCAGTTAACTATGAACAGCACGGCCACCAGGCATGTGGCTTGGTAGTCTGATCTTTGCACATATGAACATGATCCTGATACTTCACATACTGGTTGCCTAGATATATCTGGAAGACACGTGGTAGAAGTGTGGGACAGGGTGTCTAATCAAATGGTCCCAAGATACCTGTGGTAGGTTCTGGCTGCAGAGATGCAGATGGAGAAGGTAGGGTAGTGGTGGCTGGCTCACGAGCTGTGGAAAGGATTGTCATTGATGAAATTCTCATTTCTAAGAACATTCATGCTTCATTTATCTGGATTGTTCTTACTCATCCTAGAGATTCAGCTCAGGAGGAATTTTCCCAAAATAACTTTCCCCTCCTAAATACAACAAGGCTGTCAATAGGGAGAGAAACTTTTCTAGCTATGCTTAGAAGCAGAACAACTCTTCACAGACGAAACCTGAACTAAACTGAAGAGTGACTGTGTGTGGAGAAGTGAAATATGCTATGACCAGAATTAACTCAAGAAATTGAGATACATAATCATTATACTGGTTGAGTAAATAATACTGATGAATTAGGAGAATAGAGAGTATAAAGGAAAAATAGATGGATAGAAGGAAAAATACATAAAAGGAGGACCATAGTAATTCAAAAAGAATCAGAGAAGATTTCTCATTTAGGTGGAATCTACTAGAGAAGAGAGAACAACTAAGTGAATGAACTTGATGATGAGTTAACAAGTGTGTGAGGATGTGTGCATGTGTGCATGCACCAAGGAGCAGATTATAGCATTCTAATATAGATGAGTAGATGAGAATTGAATAGATGGGTAGGTGGATGGATGGGTAGATAAGCACTGCATGCATGGATACATGAATAGATTGGTACGTGAGTTCACAGAATAATAAAAGAGAGAAAGTGCTTGCTAAAAGCTAAGCAAGCATCCCGAATTTCCTGAGAAAACAAAATACTGATTTCCAAAGTGGTTGCACAAGATTGCATTCCCACCAGCAATGGATGAGGGTACCCCTTCCTCCACAGCCTCTCCAGCAAAGGCTATCATTGGTGGTTTTGATTTTAGCCATTCTGACAGGTGTAAGATGATATCTCAAAGTTGTTTTGATTTGCATTTCCCTGATTGCTAATGAGGTTGAGCATGGCCTTAGGTGTCTTTTGGCCATTTG